CACACACACACACACACACACACACACACACATATGTATACACTCTTAAGTGCGGAGCAACCAGGCAAATAAAAAAAAAGCCAATCTAAGGATAAGGAACACTAAGAACTTCAGCAAATAAAACAAGAGTACATACAACACGACTACCTACTTCCTACAAGTGATGCCACCAGCTGGGCACTGTTGCTTTTACAGGAGGCAGAGGGTGAGCGTCTCCTAACACTGACACCAGTTGGTGCGAGCCTGAGCTCTGACGTGTCAAAGAGTCTTCATCACCAAAAGCAGGACGCCACAAACAACTTTAGGTCCCCTTCAGGACTAAAAGGGGTGACTCTAAAGCATGTACGGCTGGGTGAGGGGGAGGCTGGCAGAAGGAAATGTTTACAGAACGTCTTCATCTGTGTTAAAGGTTACCCTTAGGAGCCAGCACAAGGAGCCATCAACCTCCTCGGGATGCCACTGTCCTCTGTCTAACAAAACAAGTCTCCGAAGACACCACTCACTAATCTAACTGTGTAGAATAGCCCTTAACTTGGAGAGAGCTCTTTCGATGGTCATTATATAAATATAAGGCCCACGAAAGATTACCGAAAATACAGTCTCAACAGCTTACCATTTTTTAAATTTGGGGTAGATATCCGGCCCGTGCTGATCGCAAGCTTCCTTTAGAGTGCGATGGAAATGGACAGCATCCTCTTGGTTCAAGTAGGTTGGCGTGAGGTCACATCCACCCCCAAACCACCAGTGTGTGTCACCTACCAAAGCAAGGGAGCCATGTCAATGTTGCCTCGAGACTCGAGCACACCAGGGATAGTACTAGCAAGCTTAACTCGGCAACTTAACTTATGGATATGAAATAGGTCACAGCCAAGGAACATTTAACCGAATTTGGTTCTGACAGCTGGTAAAGCTGAGGCTGGCGAGATGTAAAAAAACGGGAAGGAGATGAGATAGGAAATTAGTGAGAGAGAAGAAGCTGGCAGGGAAATGGGAGAGAATGGTGAGTAATAACAGTCCGTACAGCTGGTCTCAGCTGTGAATCTCAATGTTGGCTTAACTTTAGCATCACACAGCTCAAATATCTCAGCTAGATCACTATTTGAAAAAGCAATTTCTACATGAAGTTAATAAAAACAGTGCAGGAGAGTCTGATGATCCCACTCTTAGGGATCATCACCCCAAAGCCACTGACACATTCCATTTACCCCATAAAGGGAGAACACACACGCTAAGGGAGCCGTCTGCCATGTAAGAACAACTGTTTCATGTACTCGCTCTTATCTATGAGTTGTCAATACCAGTTACCAGCGATTATACGTGTGCATGTGAGTATAAAATGGTGTGTGTGTGCAGGTGCACATGGGTGCATATGCATCTGTGTGCATTTGCATGGAGGCCAGCAGCTGACATCAGAGGTCTTCCTTAATCACTTTACCATTTTATTTGTTTTGAGACGTGGTCTCTCACTGAACCCCGAACTTACCAATTAGCTATACTGACTGGCTCCAGATATCCCCTGTCTAGACTCCCCAGCTCCCGGCTTTTTAAGTAAGTTTTGGGGGGAATTCCAACTTAGGTCCTCATGCACTGTACATAGAGTACATATATTTGTGTGTGTGAGACCCCAATGGCAAGTTCTCAATTTCAGCAGTAACAAATTTCTATCATGTTGGGATTGAAGTTTTGGTTCACAAAATCCTTCTGTGTGGAGGAAAGAATCAGTATCATTCTGATGTTTCAGGTCCTATACACCCTGCCAAGACCTAGCCTCTGTAATACTACTGAAAAGCATAGTAATTTTGTCCTCTCTTACTTTTTTTTTTCTTTTTCTGGTTTTTCGAGACAGGGTTTCTCTGTGTAGTTTTGGTGTCTGTCCTGGATCTCACAGAGATCCGCCTGGCTCTGCCTCCCCAGTGCTAGGATTAAAGGCGTGCACCACCGCCACCCGGGCTTCCTTTCTTACTTTTTGATAGGGTACCTTTTGATTTCTTTAAAAGACAGACTTTGCACAGTGATATTCTGTATAACTCTTGAGAGGCTTACCATCAGCTTCTTCTACTTCAAAGTATCTGTAGTTGAAATGCATAGTGGGCGCATAAGGATTCTTGGGGTGAATCACAGAGCTTATACCCATAGCAGTAAACGGCAATTTACCTGGAAAGTGAAATAACATGGTGAGATGCATTCAATCTCCTGGTTTGACACAAATTACTCTCCTGTGATTTCTGAATCCATTATCATAAGCCGCTCTGTAACTTGTCCCTTAAGATATAATTTTCACAGTGAAAGCATGTGAACATGCTTACTGGGCATATGCATCCGATGGCTGTGCCAGAAGAAAGAGCTACTTTTAAGTAAATCTGGTGGGAAAACAGTTGGAAGGGAGAGTGAACCCGACTTACCATCTTTCCTCTTCAGGACTTTTCCTCTGCCTCTCATCTGACTTGCTGCTTCCTCTGAAAGACTCCCATGAACGACAGAAATGCTCACCCCAGCCTTTTCAAACACACGCCCATCCTGAAGCACACAAGTGATGCCACCACCTCCTGTCCACAGGAACAGAAAACCACAGAACAGGGGACTATCAAATGGGAACCAACTCTTCCCATGAACTCAGCAGCATGAGGCATTCGCTTCCCGCTCTAGCTCCAAAACCATCTATAGCATATATTTTAAAGTGCAGTACCCTGGATGATTAGATTAGCTTTCTGTCATAAACTGTCCGTGCTAGGCAAACATTGAACCTAGACACAAACCACTAAAGTGACTGTTCCTTCTGTGTTCTCACACCATTGCCTAATCAATCACCAAAGAACTCTGTCTTCAAACATGACTAAAAGGAATCCATTTGTTATTCACAAAATAGAAAGCTGATGTCACAGGCAGGAGTGGGTACATTTAAACAGTGTTCTACTTTCACTGAATACAAGAACTCCATATTGCTTCATGTTTTCTTCCCTCAACCTGCTATCATTACCTTTAACTTTTCTATGCAATTTAAAAATGTAGCTTTTTTTTTTTCAAGACAGCAGGGTCACCCCAAACCACTGCTTCTCAAAAATTAATGTCTGAGTTGCTTTATTTCTAAGAGCTGGTGAGAGAGAGTGTGTTTGTGTCACGGGATGATCCAGTAGAACCCGTGAACATTCCAAATGAGAACAACTCAAGAGAAGCAGGACAGCATATTCAAGAGCTCACAGTTGGGAGGAATAAGTGATTTTTTTTTCAAGTGCTGACCATGTTTCTGACATTCTAAGCACTCTACTTATATTCATAAATTATGAAACATGGGAAGAAAACAGTAACTTCCAAAGGTTACAAAGCTAGCTATATAGTATAGTATGTGAGACGTGTCCTGGGTCAGTGGCCTTTACTTGAAAACATCACAAGATGGAAAACTAGATCAGGCCGAACGTCACTTAACATCGATGTGGCAGCATCACAGCTCAAAAGGTGTTGACGATAGATACCCTGTTATATTTCCAGCTGGGAAAAGGTCAGCAATCCTCAAGTTTAAGATCTAGATGGGAGGGGAGACTATATAGGGAACATGGTCGCCAATACATGACTCGACAAGAACGGCAGGTATTTTAGGACTCTAAGGAAAAGTTTTCCTTCAAGAATTTCTTTTTTTTTTTTTTTTTTTTTTTTTTTTTTTTTTTTTTTTTTTTGAGACAGGGTTTCTCTGTGTAGTTTTGGTGCCTGTCCTGGATCTCACACTGTGGACCAGGCTGGTCTTGAACTCAGAGATCCGCCTCGCTCTGCCTCCCGGAGTACTGGGATTAAAGGCGTGTGCCACCACCTTCTGGCTCCTTCCAGAAATCTTATGTATTTAATTCAGTAAGAGCTACTGAAACACCAACCATATATTTTTTCTGCAACCGCGCCCCCCCCCAAAAAAAAAGTAGGGAGATTCTTGGCACAGGGAGTTTAGTAGACACTCAGGATGAAGGATTAGTGTTCCTTCTGCCTCTATAGGACAAGGGACAAATACACCCTCACCAGCAGATGAAATGTAGTATAGGAAAAAGATCTGTTGAGTAACACACTTTGAACTTTGAACGTGCAAGCTCCCGTTTGTTGCCTGCAAGTGTTCCTTGATAAACCAATAGAAAGTGCAATTATGAATTGGCAATATTTTGAAATGGCCAGTCCTACGTTATTGGCACATCTGGGTCCACATCTGCAAGCAGAGAATACACGGCTCTCTCAATGTCTGTCTTTTTTTAAGGGTGTCCCGTCTAATAGATCAAACCCCTGTGGGTACTGCCTACTTTAACCTAATCCCAATTCTAAACTGCAGCTGGTGCCCACTCCATCCCACGGTGGGTGACAGAAGGGCCCTCTGCTCACCTTCCTTCCTCTCCCATCGGTCCACAGAGAAGTCGGCGACCCCGTCTACTTGGGCCAGCGCCCGACACACCTGGGCCTGGGTCTCCATGATCATCAGTTCCATCTTGGTCTTCATGTCCTCGGGCCTCCTCCGCAGCTCACGCAGGTCGGTCACCGGCGAGGTCATGAAGGCGCTGCAGCGGCGAGCCAGCTCGTCGTCCTCCCCCTCCTCCCTGCGGCCGGGCGAGGGGCTTCGCGCCCCCAAGCTCTTGGGCACCATCTCCGCCCGCTGCACGTGCCCGAAGGCGGCGGCTGCCAGCCCTGCCAACCCCGCCAGCGCCGCGGCCAGCCCGGTCCCCAGCCAGGACCCGCCTCCAGCCGAGGGGCTGTGGCCCAGCCCGCGGCGAGCCTGGGTACCAGCGGTGCCAGGCAGCCGGCAGACGCGAGCGGACGTGCCGCGCGGGGACCAAGCGCGCAGCCGTCCATAGTCGCCCTGCACCGCGCGCCAGCAGGGGCCCGCGCCCAGCCGGCCCAGCTTCAAGGCCATGTCCCGCCGGGACTGGGCAGCGCCGGTCCTGTAGACTCGCCGGAGTCCCCCGGGGTCCTGAGACCGAGACTCGCTGCAAATTGGAACCCGGAGCCTGGAAGAGCTGCTGGCGGGTGTGGGCCGCAGGCCGACGGGCAGCAGGCGGGAGTGGAGGATGCTGGGAACTGTAGTTCTGCCCTATCGCCACCTGCACCCGCCTGACTGCTCCAGGACTGGAAGATAAGACTCCACCCCGCCCACTGAGGTGGGTCCTACGGCAAGTACGTGAAGGTCTGTGGAGGTGCTAGAACTGATAACGGGGGCCGTTTACCCTCTGCATCAGCGACACGGTTGTGTAGCTTGATCTGCTTAAGCGGTCCCCTGGCAGCAGGATCAGGATCCATCCTTTGGTGCATGAGCTGGCTTTTTAGAGCCCACTACCTATGGTGGGACACCTTGCACAGCCTTGATGCAGGGGGCGGGGCTTGGACCTGCTTCAACTGAATGTACCGGGCTCTGCGATGCCTCACCTTATAGGAAGAGGGAATGGGGGAATCGGTTGGGGGCAGAAGGCTGAGGGGCAGGAGGAGGGAAGAGAGGGAGATCTGTGGTTGGTATGTAAAATGAATTAAAAAAAAATCTTAATTTTAAAAAAAGGTGCCGTTTATTCACGTACACCACCTTCAATTACCCTGCTCACTCACCCAAAGAGGGCGGGGGTGGGGGGCTGGCTGGAAACCTGAGGACAAACGGGCAGAAATAAGACACAGAGACACCCTTTAATATCAAACAGAGATTGCAGACTAGTCCTGGCTATGGGTCTGGGGGGGGGGCGGGTGCCCCTTGGTCCTTTTTGGGTAAGCGCTAAGCTTACCCAAAGAGTTCTGGAAAGACTGTAAGTAAATAGTGGGCTCCTTAGTAAATCCTAGGGAAAACATGCACACTCCAGTTTACTCTCCCGGATCTCTCTTCTCCCCACAGCCCTAAGCTTCGAAAATATGAGGGTCTCAGAAGCTCGCAGATTGAATAGTCAGCGGCTTGTGCCAAGCCAGATGGTGCCTAGACACAGATGTTAACGTCAACATGTTTTATAATATCGGAAGGGCTCATTTGCCCTTTTACTATCTGGGGTGATTTTAATTTCTACTAGTAAGTAATAATCTAGGCCAATGGTTATTTCTCCACAAGCTTTCCTTTCTGGCTAGAGCAGTAATAGACGCTCAGTAGGTGTGGTTCAAACCAGTCTGTTCACTCTGCTGCTTCTCATGCAAAAGGCCTGGCACCGCATGCTTCCTGGTGCCGCCAGGAACCACAGGCTTCCCTGGCAGCTAAGAGAAAGAATGGCAGGCCAATGACCTCACAGAGAAGTGATGAAACCTTCCGAGAAGAAAAACCCTTAACTTTTAGCTGTAGTGTGCCCAGCCTGGAGACCAGCTGGGAAGAGAAGCAAAGATAAGCATTATCTCTTGGAAGGTTGTTGGCCACCTGTGAATGCCTGGGATGGGTCTGGCGGGGCCCGCTGATGATAAATGAACCTCATTAATAAAAAGCAATCTCTCTAGTAATTTTTCTGTAAGAAATTCCTTCACGTATGCTCCCCATTCTGCTAATGCAAAGCTAATAAAAAAAATAGCCAAATGAAACTTGTCCAGCAAAATAAGTTGGTCCTGAACAAATTGTGTGCTGGTTTCCAGCCTTCCCCATCCTTAATCTTTCTGTTTGGTTGTCTCTTTCCTCCCCTCTCTGGCTTCCAGCACAGTCCTCACATTCAATTTTAATGTTCAGTACTTAATAGAATCCTTAAATAGCCTGATTTGTATGAGAAAAAAAATCATCTTTTTAGCTGGGCATAGTGGTGCTTGCCTTTAATTCCAGCCCTTGGCATATAGAGGCAGGTGGATCTCTGTGAGTTTGAAACCAGCCTTGTGTACATAGTGAGACCCTATCAAAAGAAGAAGGAGGAGGAGGAGGAGGAGGAGGAGGAGGAGGAG